TTTATAGTCCTTGGTTTTAGTCCTAGGTCCATGATCCACCTTGAGTTGGTTTCTGTGTATGGAGTGAGGTGTGTGTGGGTCTTGCTTCAGTCCTTGACAGTAGATCTTCCTAAAGTGCCACTGGGCCAATTAGTAACATCAGGAAAGATGGCAAAGAGATTGAGATTGTTAATAGTTTTAGTTTGCTTGGCTCCACAATCAATAGTCTTTATACCAGCAGCCAGGAAATCAAAACACAAATTGCACTGGTAAAATCTGCTATCAGAAACACCTCCAGAGTACTGAAGAACAATGATGTTAGTCTGGAGACTAAGATGCATGATCCAGAACGTGATCTTTGCAATTACCTACTATTCATCAAAAGCAGGACAGTGACTAGGAATGATAGAAGGAGAATTAATGCTTTGAGCTGTGATGCTGAAGAAGAGTACTGAATATACCATGGACTGCCAGGAGAACAAGTTCGCCAAGTTTACCTTGGAGAGGGTGAAATCAGGCTGCTCCTTGGTGGCAAGGATTTTGAGGCTCCTTCTGACATACTATGGACTTACCGCAAGGAGGGACCAGTCCTTGGAGAGGGGTATCATGCTTGTGAGGGTGGAGAGGCACAGCTCAGGAGAGGAAGACCGCGATGAGATGGATTAACTCAGTGACTCAGGTAATGGGGGTAGGTGTGTCGGAGACAGTAAGGCCGGCACAGGATAAAACAGAGTTCAGACTTGTACATAAGGATGCTATGAGTCATAATTACAAACAACAACAAGTCATCTTTGGATTTCATGACTGCTACTACCATGGATGTTGACCGTGGATTTAATTGAAATAAAACTGTATTCCCAGAAAAATAAAAATGGAAAAGAAAACATGCAAATGGGCAGAAAGTATTGCCTATAATCTATGAATCAGGAAGTCATAAAACATTCTTCTCCTAACCTTGCTCAAAAAAAACATTGTTCCACCTTGTCACTGTAGATTTTCATGCTCAGACCAGTTAAGATCTCAAGAAGGATGCATGTCCCTTCTTGCTAACATAGAGTAAATGAACAATGATTACAAAATATAGAAACTGATTTCTCATTGTCACATTTCTTTGCATATATAAATGATGTTAAATCATTTCTGCATGGAAATATTTTAAACTATTGAGGAAATGTCTAGAAAATACATAAAATTGAAGGTGCTGAAGCCAACTTTTGAAATATTAACAGCCTAAAAATTTCAATTTGCATGTTCATTCTATTTTTGTATTAGGAAATATCTGTAACTATCCAAGTGAAATGAATAAAATCATGTTGGTTAAGCAATTTTTTTAAAAAGAGTACATATTTGCAACAGAACAGTAACATGCTTCTTTTCAAAATAATAAGTTAACTTACCATATATATAGTATACCACACAGCAATAAAGTACAAGTTTAAAGGTACAGCTTAATAAATTGTAATTAATGTATGTATAGTATAGGTGACAACGAAAGTCTTGGTTGTACAGAAGATTAAGCATTGGATTGCTAATAAACACTTTTTCAGTTTGAATCTAACTACCACCTTGTAGGAGTAAGATGAGGCAGTCTATTTCCATAAAGATTTACAGCTTTGGGAATCTAACATGACAGTTGTCACAGAAGGTTGCTGTTAGTCAGAAGAACTCAAGGTAATGGGTACTTTAGGACACTAATAGCAATTTTCTGATAAAACATACAGCATATAAAATCTTCTAAACCATTTATCATTTAGATGACCTCAGTATAGTTACACAAGCTCTTAGATTCGGTTCCTTCCATTTTTAAAATCCAGATACCAGCAAACAAGACATTAAAAGATATGTCGCATTGGGAAAACCTACAGCCAAGGACCTCTTAAAAGCACCTAAGAGTTACTATGCCAGTTTAAAGATTAAGATCACTTAATTGAAGCCAAAGTCTATTCAATTGCTTGCTATGTGTCTAAAAGTTGGACAATGAAGAAAATTGATGGATGACAGAAGAATCAGTGCCTTTGAGTTGTGGTATTGGAGAAAAGTACTGAATAGCCCATAGACTGTCAAAAGAACAAATAAATCTGACTTGGTAAAAGCACAAACACAGTCATTAGAGGCAATGATACTCAAACACTGTTTCACATAATTTGAGTATATTGTTAAGAGGACCCGTCATTGCAGAAAGACATGATAATGTTTGGAAATTGGAGGGCCACTAGAAGAACAGAGAAGAATAGTGACTGTAACAATGGCATCAAGAATATCAGAGATGATAGAGTAGCACAGGACAGGACAAGGTACAGATCCATCATTCACAGGTTCCCTATGATTTACAGTCTACTTGATAGCATCTAACAACAATAACAACATCATTGTTTGTATTTTTAAATATTATCAGAATACCAAATAGAAGAATCAATAAAAATAAAATAGCACACAGTCTGAGAAGTTATTATAATTGTTTTTATTGTTATTGTTGGGTTGTTGTTGACTGCTATCAAGTCGACCATGACTCACAAAAACTGTATGAAAAGACCCGAAGCCTTTCTATAATTATCATCATTTCTCTAAGGCCTGAGTTTAAAAAGGCATGTTGTTTAGGGAGTGGATGTCACTCCTGCTTCAAAATTACTTCTACTATACAAATGGCAAGTAATTTGATGGCATACATAATCAGCCAGCCATTACTTGAAATCATTATATACACTTTTTCGTTTTTGAGAGGTGTTGCCACAACCACACTCAATCTTTTGGAGTTTGTTAAACTGTTTTCTAGACCAAAATATGTCTAGAAGTTGCTTACCTTGTGGGCACAGGGACTTCAGTCAGGGCACCCAGCATGACAGCCTGCTGTAGCCGAACAAAGGCAATGAACGGTGTCTCTAAAAAGTCAACTTCCCCAACAAGCACATTCGAAGCTTCTGCATCACGTGGAAGTTTTTTCATGAATTTGTTCTTTAGCTGCATGAAGAGATCCAAGAAAACACAACTTACTAACATATAGGGGGTCAGAAAGAGACAACACATGTATAAGCCACGGGAAATTCATTTATGTGTCTACATACAACAGGTCCTAGGTAGTTATATATAACCATGATATTATAATAAATTTCACCTGTAGTTTGCACCAAGACTATTGAAAGCATATACAATGGTTTTGGGATTGAGCAAAGAACTGGGCAAGATGGAGTTACTGGATAATCTTGGAAAGAGTTGTTGTACTAGACACCAGTGTGGTGAGATAACAGAGATTGTGGAGTCAAGGAACAGAGGTAATTCTTTTGAAAAATAATGCTATCAGGAGAATAAGTAACACAAAGAGATAGTTGGAGAGCAGCACACAACAGGAAATGTTTTTCTTTTAAAATGGAAGATATTATAACACTTTGGAAACTTGATAAGAATGACCTAGATGAGGAAACTTTGCTACAAGAGAGACGGGGAAATAATGGTAGAAGCAAAGACTCTGAATTACTGAGAAGGGATGATATGCACTCACATAAGGGTAGTTAGCTTAAGATAGAAATGGAAAATTTTCTCAAGCCTAACAAAGGAAGGTAAATGGTCTGAGATCTGATCAAGTGAAGATGAAACTTGTACTTCTGGGTTAAATACAAATAGAAATCATCAGGTGATGGTGAAGTGGAGTTGGGTGATGTGTGGGGGTCTAAAAGAGAAGTCCTAAAAGAAGTTGTGTAGGATAGTTAATTGCTTAACACAGCTACTCTGAGAGCTTATTTTATAGATGTATTCTTTTCCTTTATTTGCTCAGCTCTCACTTAGAATAGAATTGTTTAAGCATCTTTAAGAGACTAGGAAATACTTTCTACAATTCAATGAAGAAAGTTCAACCAGATGAATGAACACAGTGAGTGGTGGAATGGCCTGGAGTGTGTCAGAGCAGGTGAAGATAGTTAAGGATAGAGTAGGGTTCAGATCTGTTTTCATTGTGTTGCTATGAGTCATACTTGACTCAACAGAACCTGACAACAACAAAGGTGTTCTAAGAGAAACTAACGCAAATCTAAAATAAGAACGTCTCCTTCCTGAGAAGAGTCCACAAGAGAAAGAGAAGGAGACTCTCAATTAGATGAACTGACAAAATGACCACAACAATGGGCTTAAGCACTGCAAGGATTGATTCTCATTATGATGGGGACTGGGCTGCGTTTTGTGCTACTGTATTCAGAGCCAATTTGATGACACCTACCAACAATAGTAAAAAATGTATTGATGACTCATAATTCTATAACTTCAGTGAGACTACTTTCCTGAAATAAATCTAAAAAAATATTTAAATATAGATGTTTGATCGATCTATGTTTGATCTATGAAAAGATGAGGAAAAATTGGGTTGCTCTCATACTTGAAAAATGATACAATGTGAAAAACTATATGAACTTCATTAATGCTGTATGTAAACCAGTATAAAATTAAATTAAGTTAAAATAAATTTAAAAAGCCATTTATAGAACTATCTTGAAATACAACGTTATCAGTGACAGGGTAACATCCAATATGCATGCAAGGAAATCCAGTGAATACTATTATCCAAATACATGCACCAAAAATTAGAGTCAAAGAGGAGGAAATAGAAGAAGATATCTACTAACTTTTGCAATCAGAAATCGATCGAACATGCAATCAAGATGGATTAATAATAATAATGGGCGACGGGAATGGAATGGAAAAGTTGGGAACAGAGAAGGAGGATATGTACTTGAAAAACATGAACTCAGTGACAAAAATGAAACTAGAGATAGAATGGTACAATTCTGCATATTAAATGATTTATTCATTGCAAAAACCTTTTCTAAGAAACCCAAATGCAGGCTACATACATAGATTTCACTTGACTGTATGCATGGGCATCACATCGATGATATCAGTGGAAAGACTTGCTGGAGAAGCTCGGTGTCAGCTGTGAAAACTAGGCCAGGTGCTGATTGTGGAACAGACCACCAAATACTTATATAAAAGTTCAAGCTGAAGCTACAGAAAATGAAATCAAATCCACAGGAACCAAAATATAACCTTGAATCCACCCCACTGGAATTTCAAAACCATCTCAGGAACAGGTTTGAGGCCTTGAACATTAATGTTGTTGTTGTTGTTATGTGCCGTCGAGTCGTTTGCGACTCATAGCGACCCTATGTACAACAGCCCTAAATCGT